TTTCTTTCACATCCGGGTCCAACGATTTCCCTACTCCCCCCCATCCCCTCCCACCGATGGTGGTAGTTCCAGTCAAATACAGGTTTTTGTTCTTTGTAGGTAATAACAGTGGTGCAGCTGAATATTGGAATACCTGTGAAATTCCTTTAGGGTTTATTTTCATTCATACTTCTTATTCAAGTATGCTAAGGAAGTGCTTTATCACAAAGCTACACCTGCAGTATTATTGGACTTTTAGCAGTCCTTTAAGGTGAATGAATGAGTAAATCTCTAATTGTGCTCTTCCTGGCTCCATATAATCATCAAATGATGTTTAAGACGTTAATCAGTATATATGAATAAATCACTTTCTTAAAATTAGCAGTTCATTTGATCCCCGGTACCAAAAAAAAAAAAAGAAAGAAAGAAAGAAAGAAAGAGAAAAAAAAAGTTCAAGCCAGGCATAAGAATACATAGGCAAGTATTATATATTTATTCGTTTATTTTTGCCTTTTTGAGACAGGGTCTCACTATGCAGTTCAGGCTGGCCTTGAGCTCACTTTATAGCCCAGGCTGATCTCCAACTCACAATGATCCTCCTGCCTCAGCCTCCCAAGGGCTGGGATTACAGTATAAGCATGTGTCACCAGGCCTGACACGAGTATTATATTTTTAAATTTCCTTAATCTCCTTAAAACGCTTTCTACCAGTTCTTGTCCTGCTTCACTTTTTACACTTAAACACCCCACACACACACACATGCACACATATGCAAATCACTATACACTGTTAGTCTGAAAACTTAATTTGATGTCTAGAAGGAAGAATTCCAAATCCTGATGTTCATGTTTACATATCACTAGATGTGTAGGAACTCTAACTCTCTCTCTCTCTCTCTCTCTCTCTCTCTCTTTCTCTCTCTCTGTCTCTCCACACAGAGTCTCACTGTGTAGTTCAGCTTCACCTCGAACTCAGCTTCACCTCAAACTCATTAACCATGCTGGCCTCAAACTCAGCCATCCACCTACTCAGCCTTCTGAGTGTTGGGATTATGGGCATGAACCACCACACCCATCTTGATGAACCTTTATTCCTTTAATAAGCACATGAAAATTCTTTTTTTTTTTTTCCCCAGACCGGGGATTGAACTCAGGCCCTGGCACTTGCCAATCAAGCACTTATACTACTGAACCATCTCCCTGGCCCCAAAAATTCTGAGTATATGGATAAAACATTTTTTACTCTATTATTCATAAGAAGAAAAGAGAGGGGCTGGAGAGATGGCTCAGTGGTCTAAAGCACCTACTTGGAACAAGCTTAATAAAGCACAGGGACCGCGGTTC